TAGTATAAAATAGATAATAGTACACATTGAAAGAATAAGTGTTCTAATGTTTTCAGATGTCAGATTCAAATTCAGACAACTTTATCAATCCCACCAGGGGCAATTTGTTTGAACAGCTTGCCTTGCACTCATACTATAACATAACATACATGTGGACACATAAATAAATGAGTAATAACCATAAAAAATAGAAATAAAAAATATGCAGTTCAGTGGAATTTAGGAATCTATTATTAATAAAAGTGATTAGATAAGCTATCATAAAAGAAAACAAAAAAACAATAAAAACTATAAAAACAAAAATTTACAGAGAATTTTAAAGATGAATAGTAGAGGGAATACAAGATTTTGAATACTGGTTAGATTTAAAAGCAGCTAAAACATAACAACACCCTGACAGCAGCAGTGGAAATTCGCCTGCAAGAACATGCCCAGAAGAAGCTAAAATAGTTGTGGCTCTCTGGAGGATTTGTTGATTGCAAAAACCCATTGCGTCACTCCTGTGGTCTTAGAGTGGATTTTTATGATGCCATTTAGACAGTTTGTGTCTTTGAATGTGAGGCTGTGAATCCAGCAGATAAATGAAAAACACAGGAGGCTCTCAATAAAAGACAAATAGAAACGGCTTTTTCTACCACATTGTTACAGAAAGTGCATTTGTCAGTCATCTCATGAATGTATCTATAAATAATAGAGCTCACTGGATGATATCTATGTATAATTTTAAAAAGCATCTCTTTGATTTTGTTGGACAGCACACATTTGTAAGGCAGGGTAAATACAGTATTCCACGTCTCACCATCAAGAGTCTGGCCTGTCCATTTATATTCAGCAGGTGGTACTGTACTCGGAATAAGTTAATGTCTAATTCACATTCAGTACTGATGAATTATTTTGTCAAAAATTGAGATTCCATCCATGGTAATGCTGTAATTGGCTATAGTACTATTGTCATATATATTTGAATTGCAGTGTGATAAGGATATGATGCCATAAAGGAGGGACCAACATAGAAGAGCTTGCTTATGAACGCTGGAGAGTTTGATAGGAAGTTTACCAACAGCATAAGGGCATATCAATAGAAAATTAAGACCACCCACTCTCCAGAACAGGGAAACCGGGTTACTTTCCTTTTTCTCCTTATTACAGACTGGCTGTATGGCATGATCACATTCACAGCAATCCTCCACATAAAGATCCCCCTTCAAATTTGTTTTGCAGACAAAAACATTAAAATGTCCTCCACGGTTTCCAAATCACATGTTTGGATATTGGATAATGATTGCCCTCCAAACTAACTTAAGTTGTGATGTCACAAAGTCATACTTGAACAGTCACTGCTGTGTCAGACTTAAACTCAAATTTAAAGTTAGATTTTCCCCAGCAGATGAATTTATAAAAACAGCCTTCTGGTGTCAAAGTCTGCGCACACATCACAGGGTACAGAGGGGGTCAAACATCTGAGGGAAGCAACAATAAACCAAATACATTTCTAAGTAGATGGAAGTTCTAAGTTTATATTTTTTATGTTGCATGATTTTTAAAGAAAAGATGGAAACACCCTCTTCTTAAAAAATTTTTCAGTACATCTAAGTTCACCAGTGCTCATTGGTTTCTTGCAGCCCAACTTTGGTGCACTATTTTGTTTTGGTTTTTTTGTCTGTCGGTCAGACGCCAGTTCTTTAGTCTCAACGTGATCGGCTCAGACATTAACAAGTATCAGTTTGGTGAAATAAGTCCCTTTTTTGCAGTTGGGCATCAGGTTGTGTTTCCCCCATCTGGAATGGACACATTTGGTGTTGGGATGATGATGATGATTTGAGAACCTATTTACTGACCACCATTGGTGGAAGTACTCAGATTCTTTATTAAGGCTTGTGCCCAGCAAACATGCGACATCAGGGGGACTTTCTGATGATGTCTGTATGACGTCAGTTGGTCCAGACCCCCTTTTGTACATCTGGTGGATGGGCAATTTGGGTTCAATATCTGAACATCTGACTCCGACCTCTCTTGGATGTCTATGGACGTGCAAAATGGGTTCAGTATCTGAACATCTGGCTAGGACCCTTTTGGGTGTCAATGGACATACAAGTTGGATCAAAATTTGAATGTCTGACTAGGGACCCTCTTTTTTGTCTATGGAAGTGCAAAACAAATCTGAATGTCTAACTAGGACCCCTTTAGGACGTCTATGGACATGCAAGATGGGATTTTAATATTTGAATGTCTGACTGGGGGCCCTCTTGGACATCAATGGATGTGCAAAACAGGTTCAATAACTGATTGTCCAACAAGGACCCCTTCTAGACATCTATGGACATTAAAGACATGTTCAGTGTCTGAATGTCTGGGTAGGGATTCTCTTGGACATCTATGGACGTGCAAAACAGGTTCATGATCTGAACGCAGACGTGCAAAATGGATCCAGTATCTGATCGTCTTACTAGGACCCCTTTTGGATGTCTATGGACATGCAAGACAGGTTCAGTGTCTGAATGTCTGGGTAGGGATTCTCTTGGACATCTATGGACGTGCAAAACTGGTTCAGTATCTGAACGTCCAATAGTGAACCCTCTTGGACTTTTATGGACGCACAACACAGAATACCACATCAAATAGTGCTCAACATTAAGTGTAAAAAGTCCTGCATTCAAATATTTGCTTGTGTAAAATAAATATTAACAGCAAACAATATCAAAAGTACAAACAGCCCAGCCCTTTAATGTAGCTGGTGGCTGGAGCTAATATTTAATAGCCTACTTTATATACTGTTAAAGGACAACTTCGGTATTTTTCAACCTGGGCTCTATTTCCCCATGTGTATGTGTGCGTATGATTCATGGGTACCACTCGTTAGCACTGGCGATCTGAACCGGTCAGTGGCGAAAAAACACACACTTCACACACACATACTCATTTACAATACCGAGCGGGGACAACTACCGCCTTTCTGCTCCAACACTGACTGACAGCTGATTCCACTCATTCACAGTCACCACTGCCCCAGGGACGCTACCATATGCTATTTACAGAGATAGCACTGGCGATCTGAACCGGTCAGTGGCGAAAAAAAGCACTTTTATACAGGACACATTTGCCCCCATTACCGTTTTAGCTCGTTTCGCGGCTCAATACTGAACCAATTTTAGAACGAGTGGTACCCATGAATCATACGCACACATGCACATGGGGAAATAGAGCCCAGGTTGAAAAATACCGAAGTTGTCCTTTAAGTAGTTTATCCTTTAACAATGCATCACACTTTCTTTGTTGATCTGTGTTTGATATGTAAAATCTGATTCTGCAAAGTAACTTACGTTCTCAATAAAACGTAGTGGAGTCAAAAGTACATTTTTTCTAAAAACTGTAGTGCAGTTGCCTACACATATAATGAAGCATCAAATTGGTATACTTCAGTAAAGTAGCCTACAAATACTTTAAAATTGTACTCGTGTGAAGTAGTTAGGCTCAAATGCGCTAAGTTATTTTCAGCCCGAGATTCTTGCAACATGCACGCGTTCCGGTTTTTCTTGTCAGTCGTGTCATACAGTGTGGGTCTCTATGAGTAACTGTTAGCCTCATGTATATTCAAAATGTAGTCCCCCCTCTTTTTTCTCTCACTGTTCTCTTTCTTATTTTGTACTACCGCCATTGTCTTTTTTTAAGCTATTCTTTCAAAAAGTATTTTCTAATTCATGTGGAGTATAAAGCACAGTATTGTTCGTGCGGAGAAAACAAGGATGTTTATGGAGGAATTGATAAGCAACGTCAGTGTTACTTCCACGGTGTCAAGCCATTCAGTAAGAAATGGGACGTTCGGTTTTTGTCCTGTCAAATTAAAAGCATGTGTTGCTCACTTTCAAAATATAATTGTTTTTAATGGTATTAATATGGTAAA